GAGGGAGAACTTCCAAATTCATTTTACGAGGCCAACATCACCCTGATACCTAAACCAGACAAAGACACTTCAAAGACAGAAAACTACAGACCAATATGTCTAATGAACCTAGATGCAAAAATCCTCAATAAAATTCTGGCGAATCGGATACAAAAACATATCAAAAAAATTGTGCACCATGATCAAGTAGGATTCATCCCTGGGATGCAAGGCTGGTTCAATATACGGAAATCAATAAATGTTATTCACCACATCAATAGACTTAAAAATAAGAACCATATGATCATCTCGATAGATGCAGAAAAAGCATTCGACAAAGTCCAGCATCCCTTTATGTTCAAAACTCTAGAAAAACTAGGGATAACAGGAACATACCTCAATATTGTAAAAGCAATCTATGCTAAGCCTCAGGCTAGCATCATTCTGAATGGAAAAAGGCATTCCCTCTAAAATCTGGAACAAGACAGGGATGCCCTCTCTCTCCACTTCTCTTCAACATAGTTCTCAAAACACTGGCCAGAGCAATTAGACAGATGAAAGAAATTAAAGGCATAAAAATAGGGAAAGAAGAACTTAAATTATCACTATTTGCAGGTGACATGATTCTATACCTAGCAGACCCAAAAGGGTCTACAAAGAAACTATTAGAGCTAATAAATGAATTCAGCAAAGTGGCAGGATATAAAATCAACACGCATACATCAAAGGCATTCCTGTATATCAGTGACAAATCCTCTGAAATGGAAATGAGGACAACCACTCCATTCACAATATCTTCAAAAAAAATAAAATACTTGGGAATCAACCTAACAAAAGAGGTGAAAGACTTATACAATGAAAACTACAGAACCCTAAAGAGAGAAATAGAAGATCTTAGAAGATGGAAAAATATACCCTGTTCATGGATAGGCAGAACTAACATCATCAAAATGGTGATATTACTAAAAGTTCTTTATAGGTTTAATGCAATGCCAAGCAAAATCCCAATGGCATTTCTTGTAGAAATAGAGAAAGCAATCATGAAATTCATATGGAAAAATAAAAGACCCAGAATAGCAAAAACAATGCTAAGCAGGAAGTGTGAATCAGGCGGTATAGTGATACCAGACTTCAAACTATACTACAGAGCAATAGTAACAAAAACAGCATGGTACTGGTACCAAAACAGGCGGGTGGACCAATGGTACAGAATAGAGGACACAGAAACCAATCCAAAAAACTACAACTATCTTATATTTGATAGAGGGGCTAAAAGCATGCAATGGAGGAAGGATAGCATCTTCAACAAATGGTGCTGGGAAAACTGGAAATCCATATGCAACAAAATGAAACTGAATCCCTTTCTCTCGCCATGCACAAAAGTTAATTCAAAATGGATCAAGGAGCTTGATATCAAATCAGAGACACGCCGTCTGAAGAAGAAAAAGTTGGCTACGATCTACATTCGGTGGGGTCGGGCTCCAAATTCCTCAATAGGACACCCATAGCACAAAAGTTAATAACTAGAATCAACAAATGGGACTTACTCAAACTAAAAAGTGTTTTCAAGGCAAAAGAAACAATAAGAGAGGTAAATAGGGAGCCTACACCCTGGAAACAAATCTTTACTCCTCACACTTCAGATAGAGCCCTAATATCCAGAGTATACAAAGAACTCAAAAAATTAGACAATAAGAGAACAAACAACCCAATCAACAAATGGGCCAAGGACCTGAACAGACACTTCTCAGAGGAGGACATACAGTCAATCAACAAGTACATGAAAAAATGCTCAACATCTCTAGCTGTCAGAGAAATGCAAATCAAAACCACCCTAAGATACCATCTCACTCCAGTAAGATTGGCAGCCATTAGGAAGTCAAACAACAACAAGTGCTGGCGAGGATGTGGGGAAAACGGTACAGTTGTACATTGCTGGTGGGACTGCAAATTGGTGCAGCCAATTTGGAAAGCAGTATGGAGATTTCTTGGAAAGCTGGGAATGGAACCACCATTTGACCCAGCTATTCCCCTTCTCGGTCTATTCCCTAAAGACCTAAAAAGAGCATGCTACAGGGACACTGCTACATCGATGTTCATAGCAGCACAATTCACAATAGCAAGACTGTGGAACCAACCTAGATGCCCTTCAATAGATGAATGGATAAAAAAATGTGGCATTTATACACAATGGAGTATTACTCTGCATTAAAAAATGACAAAATCATAGAATTTGCAGGGAAATGGATGGCATTAGAGCAGATTATGCTAAGTGAAGCTAGCCAATCCCTAAAAAACAAATGCCAAATGTCTTCTTTGATATAAGGAGAGTAACTAAGAACAGAGTAGGGACGAAGAGCATGAGAAGAAGATTAACATTAAACAGGGATGAGAGGTGGGAGGGAAAGGGAGAGAGAAGGGAAATTGCATGGAAATGGAAGGAGACCCTCAGGGTTATACAAAAGTACATACAAGAGGAAGTAAGGGGAAAGGGAAAAATAATACAAGGTGGAGAAATGAATGACAGTAGAGGGGGTAGAGAGAGAAGAGGGGAGGGGAGGGCAGGGGAGGGGAGGGGGGATAGTAGAGGATAGGAAAGGCAGCAGAACACAGCAGACACTAGTATGGCAATATGTAAATCAATAGATGTGTAACTGATGTAATTCTGCAATCTGTATATGGGGTAAAAATGGGAGTTCATAACTCACTTGAATCAAAGTGTGAAATATGATATATCAAGAAATTTGTAATGTTTTGTACAACCAACAATAAAAAATTTTTAAAAAAAGGAAATATCTCCACAGAAACATCTAAAATTCAGAGGATCATTAGAAACTATTTTGAAGATTTCTACTCCAATAAACTAGAAATTCTTGAAGGTACTGATAAATTTACAAACATATGACCTACATAATTTGAACTATGAGAACATAGAAAACTTAATGAGATTGATGTCAAACAATGAAATTGAAGCAGCTATAATATCCTTCCAATGAAAAAAAAATCCCAGGACCAGATGGATTCTCAGACAAGTTCTACTAGACCTTCATAGAACTAATATCAATCCTCTTCAAAGAATTCCATAAAAATATGAAAAGAGGGAAGACTTTCAAATTCATTGAATAAAGCCAGTATCACATTGGTACCAAACCAGACAAAGACACATAAGGGAAAGGAAACTATAGGGTGATATTCCTGGTGAATATAGGTGAAAAAATCATTAATAAAACACTGGCAAACTGCATTCAAAAACATTAAGAAGATAGTACACCATGATCAAATGGGTTTCAACCCACGGATGCAAGGTTAGTTTAACATAGGCAAATCAAAAAATGTAATTCACCATATAAACAGAGTTAAGGCAAGAATCACATGGTTGTCTCAATTGATAAAGAAAAAGCATTTGACAAACTTCATCACACATTCATGTTTAAAACTCTAGAGAAAGTACAGATGGAAGGAAACTACTTCAACATTGTAAATGGTATATATGACAAACCAAAGACCTCCTCATACTAAACAAACAAAAACTGAATTTCCATAAAAACAAGAACGATATAAGGATGGGGGTATTATTTTTTTATATTCTTGATTTTAATACTCTGTTAAATGATTATGTGGCAAAGATGCTCTACTATTCTGTAGGCTTTCTCTTCAATCTATTGGTTGTTCCATTGGCTGTTAAAACACTTTTTAATTTTAAATATTATCACCTGTCAGTTCTTGCCATTATTTTCTGAGCTATTTAAGTCCTGTCTAGGTTATCTTTGCCTATATCTGTATCTTGAATTGTTTTGTCCATGTTGTCCTTTAGTTGTTTCAAAGTTTCAGGCCTTACATTAAGGTATTTGAGTCATTTTGGTTGAATTTTAGTTGATTTTTGTAAAGTAAGTTGATTTTTGAACAGCATAAGTGATAGGGTCTAGTTTAAATATTCTGTGATTTAAATTCAATTATCCTATTATCATTCACTGAAGAGGCTGTATTTTTTTAAAAATGCATTGACTAATTTGCTGAGAATCCAATGGTTGCACATGTTTGGGTTTATTCTTTGGTCCTCTATTCCACTGGTGTATGTATCTATTTTCATGCCAATACCATGCTTTTATATATTAGAATGTCACATTAATACAATTTGAAGTTGGGTATTGCAATTATTCCAGCACTGTTTTTGCTCAGAATTGCTTTGGCAATTTGTAGTCTTTTATGCTTTCATATAAATTTTTGAGTGCTTTTTTAGTGATATGAAGAATGGCATTGGCATCCCAATTTCATTGAATCTGTAGATTGATTATTATTTTTATTTTAATTATTTTTTTATTTTATTATTATTATTTTAATAATAATAATTTTTCCAATCCTTAAACATGGGAAGTCTTTTAACCAGTTATTGTCTTCTTCAATTTCTTTCTTCAGTGATTTATATCTTTTATTGTAGAGGTCTTTCACTTCCCTCATTAATGTCATTTATAGGTTTGTTTTCTTTCTTGCTTGTTTAGTAATTTTTTAAGAGTGTCTTGCTCTGCTACCCAGCCTAGTCTTGAATTTGTGGATCCTAGTGATCCACCTGCCTCAGTCTTGTGAAAACTTTTATTTTTTTATTTTTTAATTTTTTTTTTTTAGTTTTCAATGGACCTTTATTTTATTTATTTATATGTGGTGCTGAGAATCAAACCCAGTGCCTCACACATGCTAGGCAAGTACTCTACAACTGAGCCCCAATTCCAGCCCTTGTAAATACTTTTGACTACAGCAACACACTGCCCAAAAAATATTTTGATGAAGGACTGGCAATATCACTAATCATGTGTACCCTCTGCAGGGGTTATTTTTCTCTTATTTCTCCTATTTTGCTTACCTCCACTCATTAAATTATTCATCTTACTCTCCCACAATCTAGACTACTAATTTCCTGATAACTACATAAAATCATGGTCCATTTTTGCAGTATTCACAACTCCTGAAACTGTTTTCAACAGTCTAAAGTTAATGAATAAGAAAATTAAGGAAGTAATGCATACCTGTTGAACATTGGCCTGAAGGAGATCTCCAAGATGCCTGACTAAGTCAGAGAAGTTGGGCCTCTTTGTGTAATCACTATGCCAGCAGTCAAGCATGGTCTGGTAGCTATAGATTGGGAAAAATGTTAAGGTAGTCTCCATCCACCAGTTATACTTCTTTTATAACTTTTTACATGGGTGATCCATTAGGACTTGTCTTCACAATTACCCCAAAGCACATTCTCTACTGTGGCCTTATACTACAGTTACTAATAAAGCCTGCCTAACCCATACCTGTTCCTTACATACATGTGCCCACCATTACCACATTTTTCAGCTCTGTATGCATAAATAAATGTAAAGAATCAATTATATTTAGGTTTAGGAGAGAAAGGTAGCATTTATTTCTGTCACTTGCTCCTTTACCAGTACAAGAATTGTATGAGTGGTGAGAGCATTGCATTTTATGAGGCTAACTGTCAACAATTCTCTTGGACTTTGGGCTCTCCTCGGGATCAATTTTTGGCTTCAAGTAGCATTAGACAGCCTTGGGAAATGGTATAAAAACTTCCAGTTTTATATATTTTAGTTCAAATACTGGAGTCCCAAACTATACTTTCCAATGGTTTTGATAAATAAGCCATCAACTAAGTAATGGTTGCAGTTTCACATTGAAATTACTCTTCAATGAAAACCAAAGTATTTATATATATACACACAACTTTCTGGAGTGATGGATCTTTCCATTTGCTTTTAGAACATATTTTTAATTATGATGGATAACATCATTTTAATTATAATGGTTTTATAATCACATATAAGAATTGGATTAATTATGCCATATTTGTACTACACATAACATAATTTGATGAATCACATTCCCCAGTATCATTACTTTCCCTCTCTTATCTTACCAAAATCCATTTGCTCTACTCTATTGATTTCCATTCTGTTATTATTATTATTATTATTTGAATTAGTACACTATAATTATATATAATGGGATTTGTTTTTGATATATTCATTCATACATTTCCATAGCATCATGTGATAGATTGGATTACCACTGATTAAAGTTATTTAGATTTATTTATTGGGCCAGTGAGAGATTCTGGAGATTCTTGAAATTCACTCTCAGACTTTATTTCTCCAGATTGTTTCAATTTGTGTGGCCATATCTTCTTTCAGTGCCCAGTACAGGCTGTGTCAGGAAATCACACATCTGGGCTGCAATTTTTTATTTAATAGCTAAAACATAGACTTCTATGTTTTAAATCTGTGGCTAAAAAGGAACTAGCCAGTGTCCTGGTTTTATCTAATTCCTGAGTGTTTCATAATACAAATGTAATGAATATTTCACTATATGCATCTACATATGAAATTTTAATCATCTATTTCATAGTTCCCTTTGAATTATAACTATATACTTTAAGAGAGCAAAAGACAACTTTAGCATTCAACAAGAGTTTTTAAGTTGAATTTTACAACCCGCTGTATTTATGTTGATCCTTTCCTCCCAAATTAATTAAGTCTGGTGGCTCTTCATTTGTAGAACATACATTTCAGGAGTGGAATATTCAGGGGATCTCATTCTTGTTCCCTCCTTAAGCTGACGGCAGAAGTCCTCATCTACTTGCATTCCTGGGTATGGTGAAGCACCTGGAATAGAAGAAAAGACACATATTTTCCCATGGGTAAGCAATCTATCAAGTTCTTATGACTCAAATACGTAAAGAGAACTCTGGGAATAAACAAACAGCTCTGTATCTATGTAGAACATGAGACACAGGACTTCCATCCAATTTCCCAATCTTGGCTGATATCTCTGTTTGAAGGTCTGACAGAAAGTATTTACCCAGAAAATTCTAATCAAAATTGCACTGATATGATAGATGGAGGTTTTCAAAAACTAATGATTTATTTTCATTGACTTCACATTTATTAATGCTTTTAATTGATATATTCAGCCATAACTCTTGTGTTTAGTCCAAGAAGTCCTATTATTTGAAGTCTCTGAAAGCTGTTCTCATATTAATTTTTAACCTGCCATGCTCCTATGACTAAGGCATAAAGAAAAACAAGGGAGTAGAATTCTAGTCAGTGTGTGGAGGTATGCCTCCAATTTGAGAAATATAGTCCTCGTAGCATGGAAATCCAAAAGAGAAATAAGGTCTGAAAGTCAATTTCAAGTTGATAAAATGAAAACTTATTTACAAAATATTATGGGTAATAGTTAACTAAAGTACACTTTCCAAATTTGAATCATATTTAAAGTAGCTAAGCGTATTACAAAATATGTTTTAGCACAAGTTCGTACACTTATGTCAATACATAGTTTCCAAAATCACTACTGATATCTGATACATAATATTGAGTAAATACTGAAACTCTAAAATAAGTGTTCTAGGTCTTTGAGATTAAAGGTGGTATCAACATTGCCAAAATTTTATTTAAATAAACATTTGAAAATCCAAGGTGATTGGTCATTTATACACCCCAAAAATTTCCCCAAAAAATGTTCCTGGTAGTTAAGAAATATAAATCAGAAGTGACAAAGAAAAAGCCAAAGATAAAATCAAGACTAATTCTAATAAACTATCAGATTATCAAATAGAATACACTTGGAGATGAGGAGAAATTACATCAATCATCTAGCATCAACCTTCTAACTTTCAAGAAGTATGCTGTAGAAACCTGATCAGTTAGCTAATTCAAGGCAACCTGTAAGATACTCTTAATTTTAGTTACTTCTCCATTGTTGCCTTAAATAACTTATTTGGTTAGTTTTACTCTTGTTATATTTTAGGCATTATAGATATAAGCACATGTCATCATCAAGGAACAATTATTTCCAACCTGTGTGTCACACAACCCTGAGAGATTGGAGTTATAAGAATGGATCTTCATATCCTTGGGACCAATAGTCATTATCAATAGCTAAAATAATTAATGTATCACGAGTGATAATTATTTTCTAAATCATGAAAACTGATGAAATTCACAAAAGAAAATCTATTTTTTCAATTTCCTGAATTCATAATAGCTTTCTCTAATGCATGCTTTCTTAACAAAGACATGCTAAGACTGTAAGTATCTTTATATTATAAATGTGTAATTCATTTCCTAATTTGCCTGATGTAAGTAGAAAGGTTAAAATAACATATATCAGAGTTCTCTAAGTAAATTTGTTGTAATCTCTGGAACATATTAGAGCAGAATATTTGCTATTCACTCTGTGGAAAATATTAGGAGTCTTTGCGAGATAGATGGTAAAGAATCATCCCTTTTAGATGTGCACTGTGTGTCACTTCAAAGAGCAGAAACATTACCTTTTGGTGTTTATGCCATAAGAATATATTGTGTATATAGTACTGGCCTTATCCTTAGGTTCACTTTGGACAGATATATATCTTTGTATGATTTGAGTATTAATAATTGATCTGTTCCTCCCCAGGAACTATATCCTAGATTACAATTTTCAGTTATGCAAATATCTTTTTAAAAATCCATCACCTAGCTGGGCATGGTGGCACATGTCAATAATCCCTGCAGCTCAGGAGGCTGAGGCAGGAGGATGGTGAGTTCAAAGCCAGCCCCAGCAATAGTTAGGCACTAAGCAGCTCAGTGAGACCCTATCTCTAAATAAAATACAAAATAGGGCTAGGGATATGGCTCAGAGGTTGAGTACCTCTGAGTTAAATCTCCTCTCCAGTACCAAATAAACAACAACAACAACAACAACAAAAATCACCTAACTACCATTCTGCTTTGTGCTTTAACTTACACTGTCTCCTGAAATTCTTTAATTTCTTTAATCTTTACCTTTCCCAGAAACGACTCCTCCAAACTTCATATGTATCTTCGTATCCTTAAACGTCCAATTCTACTTGTTCATTCTTTTATTTACTTATTTATTTTTTAGTTGTCAATGGATTTTTTTTTACTTTATTTATTTATGTGGTGCTGAAGATCAAACCCAGTGCCTCACACATGGTTGTGGCTCTACCACTGAGCCACAACCGCAGGCAACTTGCTCATTATTTAAGAGAGTTTTCAGATGTAATTTTTCCTCAAGAAGTAGAAACTAACCTCATCCTCCATATTTTCTTTTACATTTTACCGAAATCTCTATTATAGGGTGCCGCAGTCTGGCTGGGCACAATTCAGGAGCCACTTGTCAAAAGAAACAAACTTTATTCTTAGAACACACACACCACACCACACAGCTCTTCAGGAATTCCCTCAGAGCCCAACTGCCACCACCTGCTTCCCACAAGCCTCTCAACCTCCCCCACTCCTCCTGCTCTTGAGGCCGATTGGTTGGGAAGTTTGCTGGGGTCCCTTCGGCTGTGGCTCTCAACAACAGGGCTTGTCACAGAATTAATTGGCTGTATTTTTTCCAAATTACCTGTAAGTCCTAGAGGATAAAGAACAGTCTTATCCTACAGTGATTTTAATGTGAATGTCACACAGCAAATGTTTGTTGAATTAAATTATAAATCTAATGAAATAAACTTCTAAAGTATTTAATAAGTATACATTTCTTTATCCTACTTTTAAATAAATACATGACAAATGGTGATGTTAAATGAACATTAAACACATAGAAACAATATTCTACTTTATTCTGATGTTTGAATTTTAGCAGTTACCATCAAAAGTGACATTTCATATGTAAAACCTATTGCCTGGACTTTCATTATGTTAATCACTGGGCTTGGCTTTTGAATGAAGACTATATCAAGTAAAATAACATTAATAGTTATAAATTTAACTATTATTTCTCAAAACCCATGGACATAAAAATTGTTAGTATCTTTTGTGGGCCAAAGATGTTGTGGTTATTTGGTAAGCCTACCTACTAAAATGAGGGCCTACATGCCTTCTGTTGGGGTCAACCCTTGTCACTTGATATTGCTTAAGGTGTTTTTTTCAGCCAGTGGATACAAGTTCAGCCATGAGGTACAACTACAGCATAAATACTGCTTAGTGTCAAATTGGAAGTTTCATGTATATCTTTCTGCTACTCTGAGATCTACCATGAGATTGAATATACCAGATGCTCAAAGGAGAGCCCACCTATGGGCCTGTTATCCTTCTAGAATCAATACAAGTTCTCTGCTATTTCTGCTATTCCAGAAGCAGAAAGATAAACCATATTCACAAGTAAAGTATATAGGGTAGCACTGATGGTTCTTGAATCACTTTATTTCCCATATAAGCCTTTCCATATTTGATGGTAGATCTAGGTGAAAGATTCTAGGAGACAGATTAAAGTAAAAGAGAATTGGAATGACAGAGAATATAGTTCTAGTGACTTCAGAAACAGGCCCCCCCAAAACTCAAATTCCCTAGATATTCTAGGAAAAACTGTTCTTTGGAGAGAAGTGCCAGTTAAAATCTCCAACTTTTTAATTGGAACATGGACAAAGATAATACCTTAGGAAACACTCATAATTCCTCCTGCAAGGCTAGAGAACAGATATACTAAGAAAGCTAGGGAATTGAGGTCCAACAACAACTTGTGAGTCAGTGAGAAAATATATTGGGATGTGATAACTTACATCAAATTTTTGTAAATTGTCTTGCTCTGTGGAATGCAATCGAAATACAAGGCTCTATTTTAACTTAAAGGGATGATAAGATTAATCATAGTATAAGTGGTTTTTACTTATCATGTAAATTTAAATATAAGACAGCAGCCAACAGATACTTGACCCTTCAAAACAATTAATTTTTGCTATATTTAAAAATCTTAGCTATAGTCAGTGAATATCTTATGTAATATACTTTAAAAGTGTAAGTCACAAAATGGGGTTTGGACAATTTATTTAAGGATACAAGTGAAAATTCAGAAATTAATATATTCATACTCCTAAATGTGATATTTTGATAAATATACATTATGAAATGATTAAATTACACTAATAAACATAAACATTAGTCAGCTTTTTGTCACTGTGACCAAAGTATCTGATAGGACAACTTTTTTGGGAGGTTCAGTGCGTGGTTGGCTGATTCCACTGTTCTAGGAATAAGGTGAGGCAGAACATCCTGGTAGCAGGGCAAATGCTGCTCACATGAAGGTAGCCAGGAAGTAGAGAGGTAAAGCCAGGGGACAAGATATAACTCCCAATACTATACCTCTAGAAACCTATTTCCTCTAGCCATGTCCCATCTGCCTATAGTTATCACCCAGTGCAGTAATCTTTTGAACTTATCCATCATTTGAATGTATCCACTGAATAGGTTATAGCTCTCATAATCTAATTATTTCACCTCTGAACATTCCTTCATTGACTATCACATGAGTTTATTAGTGGATACCTTATATCCAAACCATAACAAACTATTTATCTTTTTTTGTTAGTGGAATGTTTAGTATATGGTTTCTTAGGAATTTTAAATTAAAAATAAGTTATTATAACTATAGCCCACACAATACAAAATATTTCTAGAATATTAATTTCCCAACACAATACATATTAATGTCAAACAGATATTGTAATCAATGTTCTTCCTTACTAAATATCATTGAGATTTTTTAGCATTAGATAAACATCTCTCCAGTAACCACACACCAACATTCTACTCTCTGTTTTTATAAATCTGACTTTTTTAGAATATACATATAAGTGAGATCATGCATAAGTTTTCTG